CTTTCAGGAAGGTCCGGAAATGGCAGGGCCCGGGGGGGGGGGGGGGGGGGGGTCCTCTCTTCCCCACCGGGCAGGCAGGTGGCGCCCTCTGCTGGGCTGGTCGGGGCAGGCACCGCACAGGGGTGGAAGAGGCAAAGGGTGGCCCATGGCGTCAGGGCCTGAGCTTTGGTTCTGCCGGATCGCGGACGTGCCTTCGCTTCTCTGATCCTGCCCGAGACGCGTGTAGGAAACGTGAGAGTCTTGAAGCTAGTTCGGGAGGCGGAAGCACAAGGTTCATAACGTCGAGCCCACCCTGGAAAATCTAATGATTTAACGAGACTCCCTTTCAAAACAAAATGAAATGAAAGGGCTGGGGAGATAGCTCAGTGGAATATGTGCTTGCCTGAGAAGCTCAAGGTCCTGAGTTCAATCCCTGGTCCCACCAAAAGAAAAAAAGAAATGAAAGAGCTAGGGGCCTAATGTGGTGGCACACTCTTGTAATCGAAGCACTCAGGATGCTGAGTCAGTAAGCACTTGCCTGGCAAGCGTAAAGGTCTGAGTTCAACCCCCGGTTCTGCCAAAAAAAGAAAGGAAAGAAAGAAAGAAAGAACCTATCACTCAATGTGATTCAGTCACTACCAGAAACACTCACATACATACTTATGCATGCACACTTGAGAAATTCGTGTATGTAAAAAAATTGGCCCTAAAATAAATAAAAATAAAAAATAAAAAGTAGGCCCTTACCAAGCCGTGCTAAACCCTTGCAATCCCAAGACTGAGGAGGCTGAGGCAGAAGGATCACGAAGTTGAGGGCTGTCTAAACTACATACAGAAACCCAGACTTTTAAAAACCCCAAAACCGAAAAAGATGTATTATGAGAAAATTGCTTCCAAACACATGTATGCTTTTTTAATGTACAAATACCCCATTTAAGTAACTAAAATTTGAAGGAAACATTCCAGCACAAGTTCTGTGCAAGGGATAAGAACAGAAGAGCGCAAGTTATGGAGAGAAGGAAAGCAGGGAAACCCTGCTAACATCAGGGTCTGAGAGGGGTGAGTGAGGGAACAGGTCTGGGGTCATTCGTGTACTTTTCTTTCTTTTAACTACGGGGGGAGGATATAGGGGATATAGCTCAGTGGCACAAGCACCTGCCTGGGAAGTACTAGGTCCTGAGTTTGATTCCTGATACGGGGGGAAAAGGCCCATTAATGACTGAGTAATTGAACCCCAGGCCTTCACAGTGGGCTACATCACAGCCCTCCTTTATTTTTTTATTTTGAGACAAGTTCTGTCTGAGTCACTAATAGCCCAGGCTGCATGTGGACTGTCCATCCCCCTCCCTCAGCCTCCTGGAGGATGCGGATTTCAGGCGCCACCCCCCAGGCTGTTGGAACCCTTGGTCCCCCTCCCAGCCAAGCCTCCCTAGGATCCTCATTCTCACAGCACCCAGTACTGATCATGCACCCACAGCCCCAGAATGGACAGTGCCAAGCCTCCAGTGACTTCATCTTAGGACAGTAATTGAAACAATTGGTCCCCATAAAACAAGGGGTACACTAAAAGATGAGGGAGTGCAAGGTCCTGTAGTAGGTGAGGAGGCTTTCCAGGGTGCCACAGGTCCATGAAGG